ACCCTAAATCCTCAGCAGGTTCACCGAGCCCTGTGCAGGGTTCCGAGATCAATGCTGGAAATGAGCCCTCCTGAGCTTCCCTTATGATAGAGAATCGTACTATTCCGGGGCTGGATTTTGGTCTTTGTAGGGTATAAGGCCTCGGGGTTGAGGGGGTCAGGGTTTCCCATGCTCTACTTGTCTAGCTCCCGATCGATCCCGCTGGAACAACGGTTAAGTGCTTAGAGCTGTGCAATCTGTATTTGTTTTGCTCTGAGGGGTCCTTTCGTGCGCAGTTTCACAGGGCCGTGGAAAACCGACAGATGTGACCAATGACGAACACAGAGAAGGCGTACACAGAAGTTAGACTCCTGGCATGAATGAGGCATCTCTCCTTTGGCTTCTGGTTACCTTGTACATGTCCTGGTGCCCCTTCTGCTGGGCCTCAGATGTCCCCTGAATACAACTGACACTCATGAAGCAAGACATGGTCATAGGTCAAAAGCATTGTGGCCAGTCAGGGCTTAACAGTCGGATGTGCAAGCATGCTCCTGCCCCCTAGCTTCGGTGGGGCAGAAGGCCACGACAGCATCAGCATACCAAGGTCTTGAGTCTCAAGTGAAAACCAACACCTGACATCAGAAGAAGGACGATAACAATGATATAAGCTGTAGGAAAGCAAGACCAGCAGGGAAGCCTATAAAAGTGATCGAAAAACCACACTCAAATCACAGTCCATGAGCTGCAGAAGACCTTGGCATGCAACACAGAAGGTGCTGGAAAAAATGGCTCCCTAGACCTCCAGGTCACTATACAAGAACCCAGCAATGGGATGACTGGAAGTACGGGGCATGCCATGGAAAAACAAGCAATGTACGCTCAGCTCACCTGCCAGAGTCATCTGAGTCATCTGGGTCGTCGCCTTCCACGGTCTCCGCATACTTCTCATCAAGCACATCCTCCTCATGCTCGAACTTCAAATAGAGGATCTGCTTCTTTTCATCTAAGCCCTGGACACGGAAGCACATATTCGGGCAAAGGAGAACCTCCGCCTCTTTGGCGCCATAAGCCGACTTCTTCGTGATGTCTGCGTGGCTCGAAGAGTTATTGATGCCCTCCATGATCCAAACCCAACCTTCCCTCCCTGCAAAGTTCTTTGCAACTTCCCACTTGATGCTGGTCGAAGTAAAGCAGGGCAAATAGATGCAACCTGCATCTCCCCGTGCCCCAGCAACAGCACGGTACTGAGCAATGGCTTTCGGATCAATACTCTGCAAACCACGATAAACCGTATGGATGGCCTTGTTGTCCGCCTCGTACTTGTCGTGGCGATGC